AATGCTAGAAAATTATTTCATTCTGCCATTTATTTCTATACTTCTTTGAAAAAACACAAAAGAAGGAGCAATGAATACATAATTTCAAACTCAACTTGAGTGTTCTATTAAGAGGCCTGGGCGAATGGAGGGCAACTCCATTTAACATTTTTCTTAAGCAAAAGTGTAGGGGAGTTAAAAGTTCTGTCCCTCAAAATTTTTTTCTTCCTAATTACTTTCCATTTCCCACCATTATCTCCTCTTTCCTATGTCCTTTGCTTTCTCTTCTTTACCAGTTACCTTCCTCTTGTTTTCTTCTCTTTACGCTGAATTCATTTTAGTGATTTTTTCAGACATCAACTTATTCTATATGGAAAATTTTTCACTTATTAATTGGAAACAAGGAAAAACAGCATTGAAGCCTTGAATTCAGATTCTGAGTGCATCAATCCCTAATGACGTCAATTTGGGCAAATCACTACTAGAGCTTTGAACTACCATGTCTTTCTCTGAAAAATGAGAATATTTGAAAAATTTGCAGGATCAATGAACTACACCAATTATCAGAGCTAAGGAACACCAACTACAACAAAAGATAGGCTACACTTAAACATACGGTAGTAAAACTGTAGAGCATCAAAGAAAACATCAGGTCTAAAGAATGGAGCGAGTTAAGGACAGATTATAAACAAATCAGAGTTAGTTTGATTGACTGTGGTTCTTTAACAGCAACAATAGAAGTCCACAAGAGTGTGGCTGAAAAAAGGTAAAACACATTTTTATTATATATGTAGCTAAACTGTTCAACTAGATGGTGGACAAGTTGATAGACAGAAGAGCAGACTTCTATTCATGCTCATCTTCTTCACCGACAGAACCTCAGTTTTATTTGGGGTGACTACATCCTTAGAAAACTGCACGGCCTAGCCTCCTTTGCAGCTGGGGTAGCTATTTGATAGTTCTGGCCACCGAGTCAGAAGGTTAGATGCAGGAAGGATTTCTGGAAATTCTGGGAATCTCTACTGCCTGGTTTTCCTGCCGTATGTGCTGCCCCATCTTCCTCTCTTCCCTTTCCTCCCTCGTGATGCTGAAGGGGAGACACAGTGGCTGGAGTTGCAAGAGACATCTTATGATTTTGAGGCAAAGACTGAGGAAATCACAGAAACTTTGCCCTGTAACTACTAACTTCTGTACTTTGCTACATGAGGAACAAAAAAAAGGGCTTTTTTAAGACTACTGTTTCAGTTAGCCATAACTGAATGCAATCCTATTTGTTACAGATTGAAGGAAAAAAACCTGATTACTAACAAAAATACGACTGTCTATAGAAAACCCAAGTGAATCTCTAGTCACAGTTTTACAATAACAATAAAAGTGTTCAACAATATATTAATACAATATAGTAAAATCAACTTTATGTCTATATACCACCAATGAACTCAAAAAATGTGATTTTTAAAAAGCTACTTACAATAGCAACACAAAATATAGAGTTTCTAGAAATAAATTTTATATACAAGACGTACAGGATCTTATGGACAAAATTTTAGCATTATTGAGAGCAACTGAAAATTTCTAAGTAAACGGAGAGATATATTTATGGATGGGAAGAGAATGTCACTGAGAAATCTTATCCAATTGTTTCATTCTTCTCAATTTATCTACAAATTTAATATAATTCTGAAAAAAGTATAATGGAATTATATGTGGCACACTTGTGAAGCTAATGCTAAAACTTATGAAGAGCAAAAAGCCAGGAACAGCCATGAAAATTCTGAGGAAGAACAAGGTTGGGGGACTCAACTTACCACATGTCAATATTTACTATGAAGTGATGGTAATTAGGGCAGTGTGGTATCAGTATAGGAAAAAGAACGTAAGCCAAGGGAACAGCCTAGAGATTCAAGAAACATACCCACAAATATGAAACCGTATAGTGCCTTGCACATCACTGGAGAAAGGATGATAAATGATGCTAGGGCAATTGGTTATCAATAAGCAAAAAAAATCGGATCCCTAACTCATATGATACACAAAAATCAATTTCAGGTGAAATAAAATACCTAAAAATAAAACTTAAAACTAAAATGTGAAAACATCTTTATGACCATGAGGAATAGAAATTTGACTTACAACATGAAAACTACAAATCTTAAATCAAAAGATTTACCTTTAACTTAACCCCAGCACATAGAAAAATACCATAAACGAATGAAAAAGGCAAAGTATTGCCAGGAAGAAGATAACGAGGGTCTGAAGAAATTCTAAGAATAAGAAAAAAACAAATAGTTCAATGGCTAAACGGGCACAAGAAAGTAGCAATCCACAGAAGAGGAAACCAGCATGGTTAATAATTACAAAAAGCTGCTTCTCTCACAGCAACCAGAGACCAGAGTGAGGCATCACTGACATTCATCAGATTGGCAAAAATGATTAAATCTGACAATACCAAGAATGGGGTGAGGATGTGGAGCACAGGAACTCTTGTACACTCCTGGCTGAGTGTACGCTGGTATGACCTCTGTCAGAGTAACATGGCATCCAGTAAAGCTGAGGATGCTCTTATCTGTGATACAGCTACTTTACTCCCAAGTGTATACAGCCTAAAGAAACTCTTGTACCAGACACATGTCACAGAATGGTCATAGCATATTGCTATGAAATAAAATATTGTAATCTAGGGAGCTTCAACAATATTTGTAAAGATTTACTTCTGGGTGATGGGTACATAGGCATCTTTCACACTTTTTTAAAAGACGAAATGTGATGGGAGATATTGCAAATTGAAACAGGTAAATCAGACTACTTTTAGAACTTCTGGCATCATATTTCACAGTGGGTGTAGGCTGGGAGACGTCAAGCCCACGGACCACCTGAGGAAGATTTTGATGCGCTTCCTCACAAGGACTTGCTTACTCTACTTGACCCAAGAAGTGAGCAGCTCCAGACTAAGCCACTGCATCTCCTTTCTCCTCCTCCAGGCCCAGCCCCATCCTGTCACTTTGTAGGTGTGAATGACAAATCGACACTGACCTCAGGGCTCTGCTTTCACAGACAATGACACTGAGTAAGCAGGGGCCCTCTCTGCGAAAGAAATCTATCCACTTCTCTTCAAGTGAACATGGTGTGACTTCACAGCTATTTCTATTACTTTTTAACGAGCTAATCTTTCCCACCAGAAAACCCTGTTAATTAGCACTTTTACCACAGATAATTGATGAAACACTTTGTGTCTGAACTCTATTGCTTTGCATATTCCATGAAGTTGCTATTTACTTATTTTCATAAAATAGTAGAGAAAAAAGTAATTATTCTGAACATCAAAGCAATCTGTAAATATAAATAAGTAATAGTATATAGCATTTCAGTAGGATTGAAACATTGTTACAGCTAGGAAGGTTAAAAGCCCTCTACCCTCATCAAGCCCAAGGCCCCCTTCCCAGAGTAAACTTTATTATCGGAATTAGCATGTGCACGTGACTGTGGATGTTCTAAAGAGCCCCGAAGACTCGTGCCTAAAGCTATGACTCTTTCCTATTGCTGTAAAATAAAGGAAGCTGGGTGGTTGCCCATATTGCCAAGCCTCCTCTTCACTTCGCTCAGTGGCTCAGTGCTCCTCTGGTCTTGGGCCAGCCCTGAAAAGTGAGGTCACTACTAGATCAAGGAAGAAGTTCTGTCTAGATTGGGCCCTTGGAAAGAACGGGAACTCTAGAAAGTACATTTGTTTTAGGCTGGAATGTTTTCAAAAAACCGTTTCTAATGGAAGCTTGTGTCACTCTCAGCTAAACAGCTTCAAAGCCTGTCATATTTCTGTGCACTGAGCAGATCTGTTCTCACGGTCCTTTCAAATTCTGATGAGCTCTCCACACAGTTGCTTCAAAATATCTCTAGTTTTTCTTAATTGTTTCAGCAATGGCTCATAGAAATGCCTTTTAAAATATCTTTTTATCTTCAAATTACTTATTTCTTGAAATATTTATTTCCTTGTGGGAACCTGAAAGTTTTACATATTATAAAAGAATGACATGGTTCTCTATTTTACTTTCTACAACCTTAGAGGTATTGGTCAATCAGGAGATCATCCCTTGGACATTCAATCAAAGCTCTTCGATTAAATTACCATTATTTTTAAAGAGCCTAGAGTTGATTCACTTCACGATGTTTGATGGTTTCTTTGGAATCAGCATTTATTTCATGAACAGACCCACCTCATTTTTCGTTCTTTTCAAATCAGACACTTTTAGTATAACTAGAACCTAAAGCAGTTAATAAGTACTAGAAAACATTTTAAACTTAATAAAGTGGCTAATCTTACAAAATATCAGAGGTTTGACTATGAAAAGAACTTGCTACTTTAGTTAGAATAGCTACTTCTCTGGGAAAATAAAGTAGACTTCAAGGACACAAAATCAACTAGAAAGAAGGTTGGTTCTTAAATATGACACTAAAAGTACAATCCATAAAAGAAAAAATTGGACTTCATCAAAATTAAACTAATGAATTTAGTTAATTAAATTTAAGAAAATGAAGAGATAAGTCAAAGACTGGGACAATATTTGCAAATCATATATCTGATAAAGGACATATCTGGAATATATAAAAGCATCTTACAATTCGATCTAAAAACAGAAATAATACAATTAAAATATGGGCAAAAGATCTGAACAGACATTACTCCAAAGAAAATATACAAATGGTCCATAAGCACACAGAAAGATGTTCGATGTCATTAGTCATCAGGAAAAAGTAAATAAAAACCATGATGAGATATCACTTCGTACCCGATAAGATGTGTATAAAAAAAAGAAGATAATAACACGTGTTGGTGAAATTGTAGAGAAGTGGAACTCATACACTGCTGGTAGGAATGTAGCTTTGGAAAATAGTCTGGCAGTTCCTTGAAAAGTTAAACAGAGTTACCATATGAACCAGCAATTCCACTCCCAGGTATAGACCAAAGAGAATTTTTTTTAAAAAAAAAAAAGAAAGAAAAGCTCCCTTTGTCCTAGGGTTTTACTTACTGAGGTTCCACTTCAGGCCTGTTGTCGTAACCTGACTGCATGGCTGTCCAACAGGAATAAGGCCACACCAATCACCTTCCATTCCAGTATCTACATGTAATTTGTGCTTTCCCTGAAGGAGAGAAGGAATGACCATTAAAACAGGGAAGAGAAAGGAAGGGCCGTTGATGTACATTGAAGACCTGGTGGGATGCACCAGGTACCATCCTAGGAACTTCACATGGTTTATCATACTTAAGCCTAACAACAAATTTATGTAGTACGTACTGAATAATCCTAGGAACTTCCACCTGACTAAATCCTAGTGACAATTTTACAATGTAGCTTATTGTTAATTATTATTTTTACATAAGTGAAAATTGAAGCTTGCAGAGATTGCATTCAGGACCACACAAATAACAAGCGGGCAGAATTAGGATTCCTACCTATACCTGTCAATTTCAAAGACTAAACTGGTTCCACATGCTAAAGATGTAGCACTATATGATACAGCATTCTACGGTCTTATTCAAACCCTTACTCAAGCGTAAATAAAGCACTACTTCCTGAATCTTTGCCTTATCTGAGACTTGAGCTTCTAGCTTTCAGAATTCACTGTCAATCATACTAGTGGTTAACCTCTTTCTTATACCCAAAGCCATTCTAGAAGATGCTCAGTGAGAGTACCTGTATCAACAAACAGAGTATGTGTCCTGAGGAACTGGTATGCTTCTTCCATTCTGATGAGGAAAACCAATATAATTTACCATATTTTCAATTTTTGCACTTAGAAGAAGGTTAGAGTTAAATGTAATGCTCAATGAAGGCTACAACGTTTGCTTTTAAACAGACTACGTGGAAACTCCCCTTCTTCTACAGAGCAACGATTTTCCTTTCCTGCTCTGTTCATTATCCTTAGGGCATACAGTCTTTATAAAAAGATGCCTCAAGTCCTTATGGGAAAATGCCAAGACATACATGCATTCAATAGGAGACTAAAAAAGATATTTTTAATAATTCATATGACTTTGAATAACTTCCAAAGGATATTCTTTATTTTAATAAAATATTGCTTTAAAGCATATTTAATACAAAACATATTACCAGATTAAGGTATCTAGGTCTCCTTTTACAGCCATTTCACTTTTATTCCAACTATGCCTTTTGTACTGTATGTTGCAAGCTTCTGAGAACTTATTCTGCTGTATACAAGGCCTCAATGTGTGAGCAGGGTTTGTCTTTAGTCAAAGGATTGCTTTCATTAGGGAAAAAATTCTCTAGATTACATATCAGCCCTTGAAGTTTACCACAAGTCCATTCAGATCTTCATTAGCTATACAATTCACATACACATATTTCTATTTGGACATTCAATCAGAGGGCATATATTCAATTAAAAGGGCTTAAATATATCCGAACACAAGTAAGATTCTTAAAGAAAACATAAAATACACTTGAACTCGGTGTCCATCATTGGAAGAAAAGATAGGCATACATGTAGATATCCAGCAAACAATGGATTAGATGCACACAGAGAAATGTGGGTGGATTGGAAACATAATGCATAGTAGGAAACAGAGTCATGGTAAATTACAGAACCCATTTATGTAAATTAAAATAAATGCAAACACAATAAGATAATTTTTCTAGTAACAAATTTAAGAATATATATGTTAAAAATTTTAAAAATATGTGAGTATATATACAGACGAACATGTTTGCCTATGGGGAGGGTAAGGAGAATAGGAATGTGGTATAGGGATAAAAAGGAAGCAATGGATGAGTCAAGCAATAAGGATTCTTGCCTGAACCAGAGGTGACAATGTGCCATGAACCATGAGTTGACTCAACATTGAGATCTTACAAACATAACAAATACGCTTTTTAGATATGAAGCAATACAAGACTTACGAATTCTTAGGTTCTTCTGAAGAAAAAATAGAGAATATATTCTTATAATTCTAAATAGTAATTCAAGAAAGAGGAATAATTGGGACACAGCCATGGAAAAGACTCTGGAGTGAAATAAAAACGAATCTTGTTCTTGAATAATGATCTTTGGTGTTTTTCTTTTAGTATCAATTTAGAGCAAAACCACAGAAATGATTAATACAGTTACAGAATCTTTCCACATATTAGAGTGTAAAAGTAGTGCTCTATCTGTCAGGAGGTACAGCTGAGGAAAAGAGTGGAAGAAGGTGAGTGGCCCTAATTTTCTCATCATTTTACACCGTTGGGGGAGCCCAGGAAATTGTGCCTGAAGCTGTAGATTTTAAAAAGGAGGATTTTAAAATTGCACCTGGCCTGAGTAACTGGTAATATGCAAAAGCTGCAGCAATGGGACTGAAAATGAGATTTGAAAGAGCTCTTTTCTTCACCCAGCCATATTACTCATTCATGAGCCTCCATGCTAGCGTCAGAGACAAGCTATTCACACAACTGTACACAGGAAAACTTCATCAGTGCATGGAAGGCAAAGCACCAAGAGGTAGGAAAGATGATGGATCAGAGACCTGATTGGGTGTGCAGAGTAGGGGCAGCGTGTAAGCAAGGAGTTCCCTGGGGAGTGTTGCTGTGTGGGAACTGAAGGAGGAAGAAGAGTCAGCTCTGTGAAGAGAGACTTCTGCACACACACCTGCGAAGGCCATGAGGTGGCGTCAGGACATTCACTGATGGGGCAAGGCAGGTAGGGAGGACTGGGTGGAGCACAAGAGAGTTTCAGGGTCTTGAATCTCTTCACTGTGATGCTGTAATGGTGAATACATGGCACTACGCATCTGTCAAAACCCACAGAATGTGTAACACAGGAGTGAACCCTAATGTAAATTATGGACTTTCGTTAATAATAATGTATCAATATTGGTTCACCATTTGCAACAAATGTACCACACTAATGCCAGATAATAGGGGAAACGGAGAACAGGAGGGGCATATATGGGAACTCTCTGTCTACTCTGCTCAATTTTCTGCAAACCGAAAACTGCTCTAAAAACGAGGTCTATTAATTTCAAAAAAGAGTCTTTCAACTTTTCAGTTTTGACCTTTCAGCTTCTCATCCCTTAAACGGGACTGACAGCCACATGATGGTTGGTTTGAAACCTGTGCTAGCTGGCAAAAGGTTCCACACAAAGAGAAATGTACTGCTGCTTCTCAGCAGCCACTACAACCTTATTCTGTTTTTTTCCCTTAAAAAAACAGGGCTTTTTTGTTTGTTTAGGCCGTGAGCTGCCTTTATCTCTTTGTATAGTATTTTTCCCTAAACTGATTTACATTGAATAGCTTGACACACAAATATGAGTTTTATTCTCCCTACTATCCTCCATTATAGAACTAACTCTCTCTGAAGATACAGATGCTAAATATAATATAAATTACCATCCACAGATGCCAAATGTTACACACTTCAACCAATTCTGAAAGCAGTAACAAAGCCTCTTTTACAATCAAAGGAGTTGATGACAGAGGGTGGTGGAGAAATCCTGATTTCCTTAGAAATGCTTTGGCTCCAGCCATGAAGGAACAGGAAGCAGAGACCTGTCACGAGGGCAGATCCCAGCCTACAAGGGCTGTCCTCTCAGGTCCACATCGGAAAGCACAGCTGATCAGAGGGGTTACAGGGAACCCAAGCCTCCTGGGCACTGGGTGGCAGAGAACACTGGAAGAAGGGCAGGAACGCATACCTGGCCCAGGTGGCTCTACTCCTGTCTCAGGTGACAGTGTCTCTGACGATGAGATCTGTTGTTAAAGATTGTGACTTCTTCCTTCCTTATCAAAGAGAGATTCATGTGTCCATGAGTTGTCTCATTTTCAGTGTGTTACAGTTAATTCTCATCTTTTAACTGAAGACTTTCCTCCCTCTGTTTGTGGCCCACTTAATGGTTTGGCAGTGGTCAGCTGAACACATTAGAATGTTGGATCCTCCAGTGAACTTCAGTAAAGAATGATGAAGGAAATAAGGAACGATTTCTCAACTCGAGGATACTAACTCCCTAAGAAGATTCTTCAACTTGTATCACAGAACGCAAAGGAGACAGCACATATACATGTTAAGGTTTATTATCCCAGGGACAGGATGGCTGTTATAAAATCCACCAATTTAAATGACACAGTAGAAATCTCTCTTTTCTAGCCTTCCTATATATTCACTGCTTTCCTCATTATTTTAAGATTCGACAGACCTCAAAATTTTCAATCTGGGAATAAACCAGTTTGTGGACTTGAGGAGTCACATAGGTCTTAGCCTACAATCACTTAACATTTTTTTCTCTTGTTCCAAAAAGGAGTTTAGCCATATGTAAACGGTCTTTTGTTTATAAATACGAAAATTTACCTTTGTGTAAAGGAGAGTGATATTATACTTTCCCCCATATCTTCATTTCTATGTGACATCTTTAAAAAATGAACAACAAAAGGAATTTTTGTTCATTCCTCAGATTTCTCAATTTATAATATATGCTAGCCTATATGTGATTTGACACAGGCAGGCATACAATCTGACATTAAAGAACTTCCCTAAAGATTTATGCCATTACTGGAGACTAGAGGCACATGAACTAATCATTGACTTCCATCTACCCTCATGAATCACTGCACAGGTTCCTGTTCTGAGCTAAGATAACTCTTTGAAGTCAAAGGCAGTTCTATATAGAAAAGACGAAACAAAAATGAATCACAGACAGTCTGCTTTTCAGATCATGGTAATTTTTAACATATTGACAACCTCTATAAGATATGAAATTGTAATTCAGTGAAAGGTAACAAAGATGCTGCTTGACACTTATGCTGGAAATCACACTTACAAGCATGTTAAGGACAGGTACCATCAGAGGGTCACTTCCTCTAGACTGTCACGCCAAGCTAGAGCAAAATATACGCAAATAGATACTTAAGGAAGGAGTAAGAAATCACTGTCATTTGCTTGTATTAGACATCCTCTTTGCAAAGGAATAGGACCTCAGTGAAGGAAAAGACAGAGTTCACCCTAGATTTTGCTTTTGCAAAAATATCAAACATTGAGGCATCTGAATCCTTTTTACATCTCTGAATCCTCAAATCCAATAATAATGCCATTTTATGTTAAGATATCTTAGTGTGGGTCTCACAAAATACACAGCAATTTAACAAGATCATTCC